GGCGCGCGCGTGCGCACACACACACACACACACACACACACACACACACACACAGCTCACCGGGGTGTCAGACTCAGGTGATGCCTGGCAGGGCAGTTGGCTGTCCATGCCCACTCATACCCGCCCTGCACAATGTGGTCCCAGGGATGTCAGTCTTTCTCCCAAGGAGCGGCTGGTGGGTTTGAACCGCCTCCGGGCCTCCGGGGCAGGAGCGGCCGGCCGGCCCAGGAGGGGAGGGCTTCTGGGGCCGGCACTCTTCCGGGCGGAGAAAGCCTCGCCTGCCTCCCATGGAGCGGCTGGTGACTTCGAGCTGCCGACCCGGCTGCTTGGCAGCCATCTGGTAGCCTTGCTCCACCACCAGGGCTCCTGGAAATTTCCTGAACCCACAGCAACCCAGCACACTGCCATCGAGTGGACGCGGACTGGCAGCGACCCTGTGGGACGGGCTGAGGCTGCAACGCCCGGGGAGTGAGAGACCGGCTGGTGGTTTCCAACTGCAGACCCCGTGGTGAGCACCCCACGGTAGAGCCCAGGGACGCCCAGGGCCCTGCTGGCCTCCCGCTCGGGCAAAGTTCCCCCGACAACGGATGTGGTTGCTATGCGACGTTTCAAGTCCCTGGTGCTGGGCAGGGTGTGGGTGTGGGGTGGTGGGCTGACTGCGAGGAAGCGAGGAGACAGGGGAATGCGGGGCACTCCCACCAAACCCAAACTGCCGGGGCAAGAGGGACCCAAGGCTCCTCCTCCATTGCCACGGGGGTAGGGGAGGGGGGGGGCTGGAGGTGGGAATTGCGCCTGATCTGACCCCGCCATGCCGAGGCAAGGGGGGGGGGTGGGGGGCGGCGAAGGCCCTGGTGTCTCTGCAGAGGCCCAGGATGGGATGACCACAGCGGCCCTCCAAAGGTCACCCCAGGTTCCTGATAAGAAATCAACGTGGGTGTGTGGGTGTGACCATTCACTCCATGCCCCCGAAAGCTTCATGCAGCAGTGAGTGTTTGGACGGGGCATGTGCCCCAGAACAGGAACAGAGCCAAGGTGCCAGGAAGTCGCAGGTTCATACCACAGAGACGTGCCCAGGCAGCTTTACTTGGAAACCACCGGGTGCCCGCCGTCCTGGTGGCTCCCACCACGCCACAGCCACAAAAGGGCACGGACTCCTGACAACCCCGCCCCCTGCCACACAGACGGAGTCACCCCCACGTGGCTATGTCCAGAGAGAGAGCCGAGCCCACTGCTTTCACCCACAGGAGTCCACCGCCGTGGTTAGGCATCAGGTCGGATCCTACCCATGGCAACAACGGCGGGAAACTCCACAGGTCCTGTGCCATCCTCACCATCGCCCCATGTGCCAGCCCAGGGTTGCTGCCCCAGCGCCAATCCATCTCGTTGAGGCCTGCCTCTTGGGTGCCCTCCAGTCGGTCCCGGCCCATTGCGACCGTGTGCACCCCAGAGCGAA